TCCAGTCCCTGTGACGTCGGGACGTACGGGCGCCGGCGGGAAATTTGAAATTTTAAAAAATTTCATTTTTTTTTCAAAAACATTTTTACATAGCAAAACATTGCTGTTTCAACCCATTTCACATACATTTTGTCCCTACTGCTTTGTCCTGTGCCCTGCCTGCATTTTGTCTGTTCTTTCTGCCTAGAAACTGAGAAAAGTCCACGGCGTCCAAAAAGTGTCCCTTTACGTCAAAAGCGGGTTTAGACCGGCTAGAGAACAGCGATAGTAAATCAGAACCACTTGCAGAATTGAGTGATAATGATTCGTGGGGGAAATTCGTCATCAGACACTGAAAACAATTTTGCAACTTTGCTCAGCGATGTGCGAACTTGGCGCTCTATTTCAAATTTCAGTGTTTTTGGTTTGATTAAATTATTGAATTAAATGTATTATTATTATATTATTATTTTTGATGATTATTTATTAAATTATAATTTATGATTTCGTGTTTCAAATTTTATCATACCCGGGATGTTTAATAGACTCTTGTTCGGACAGATTTCAGTGAGTTATTCCTAAATATTACAGCCTACAATAAAAAAACTACATATTTCCATGCAAAATAATGGTACCAAAAATCTGAAATAATCAGACCGCCAGGGAGGTTAAGGTACCCCAGGCATGGATAGCTTCCAGGCTGGTATGCAGCTACATGTCTCAGCTGTCCTACCAGCCTGGAAAACAGGTCCAATTCTGACCTTTAAACAAGCAGGAACCAATCCTAGCATATCCAGATAGTAGCCTAAGGAAATATCTGTAGAAAAAGTCCACATTCCTGAACATTTAAAAAACAATTCTACATTTTATTGCAGCGTTTAGCCAACAAATGACCACTAGGAGTACACTTTTCACCTATAATTCACAGGATCACAGGCATAAGAAATAACAATATTGTTTTAAAGCATCACCTTAAGGCGGCCATGCATTACACAATCCAATTGTACAATCATACTTAGATCTATCATCAAGTTCAAAGGCCTTTCTGACTGAATACAAATTGAATGTATTGTTCGGCGGTGTCTTTTTATTACATAGTTTTAGTACTCTAAAGGAGATTGTGCGATCAGATTGTGTTCGGCCAGCTTTACTGCCACAGTGAAAATGGATTCACCAGAAAGGGAGTAAAGGAAAATCTGCAACAGGGACATAGACAGCAAAAAAAGCTGATGGTTATTATTGTAAATAATGTTTCAAATATAACTAGTTTATGTCTGCTGTTGTTGGAGATTTCCTCTATTTCCTGCATATAACCTCTGACAGTAAGTGAGGGGAAATCTCTCTAACACAGCCTCAGGAAGCACCAAAAACCTAAGGGCTCTTTCACATGGACGTTCCGATTGGGTCCACCTGCCCGTTTTTCAGGCGGACCCAATCAGAACCTTCATTCTCCTCTATGGAGCGGCGGGGGTAAATGGACATGTGTCCGTTTATACCTGCCAACTTCCGATCTGACAAAAAGGGACAGATGGGGATCCAATTCCCCTTCTGTCCGTTGTATCGGGTCAGATGAAAACGGACAGGGCCGTTTTCATCCGACCGCACATTGAGGAGAGCGAGCAGCTCTGTGTCCGCTCTGGACACAGAGCTGTCATCCACTTGCTCGGCGGGGATCAGAGGTAAGATCCACCGCCGAGCAAGCGGATCCGCTAAAAGGGTCCGCCCCATGTGAAAGGACCCTAATGGAGGTTCCAGACCTTCTCCACCCTATTCAAAGCAAAAAAAAAAAAAAATGGAAACTTTAACTTTAGGCGGAACTAAACCCAAAAGCAAAAATATAATATAATGCAGCTTACCAGTTCCGGGTGGCTGCATTTTTAGCAAATACTGAAAATATCTGATCTTGCAAGAAAGGCTGTGTTCTTGTCACTTCCTGCCAGCAGCTCTAAAGACAAAAACTTCACTTTTGCAAACTACTAATCCCATTAACCACCCTATGATGAACAAGGGCAGACATAGCAGTCCAGGCTTGGCAACAAACATGGCTCCCTCTGTAGATACAGATGGGGAGTAATCGTAGCCACCCAGGGACAGGAAGTGTATTGTTCACAGGATCACCAGGTGATAAAGGACTAAAAGCCTGAAAAAAAAAACAAATGCAGCCACCACATCTAAGAACTGGTAAGCTGCAAAAATAGTACATTTTTGTTTTGTGGGGTTTAAATACACTTTATACTAAAACAGTACAATACACGCAATGGGGGGAACCATTAGGCAGAATCGATCGGACCATTTATCCTCAATCTATTCCCTAGAAACCAGTGACATTGTTTTGAGCATTTTTAGTAAGGCAGTAAATAAAAGTGATGTTCAGGAAACAGTAAACATATACAGTATAAGCTGTCAGAGCCCAGCCACACCTCTATACTTAGAAATGTTCTACTGGACTTAGGGCTCGTTCACACTTGGCTGTTTTACCAACGCTTGCCAAACGCCCTTATAGCGTTTGGCAAGCATTGGTCCGGCGTTTGCGGAGCGTTTTTTAACGCTCGGCAAACACTCCGCAAACGCCGCATGCGCGGTTTAGCGGCAGTTGCTAGGCATTTGCTGAGCGTTAAAAACGCCCCACAAATGCCTATGCAAATGCAGTTTGAATGGTGTTGCCGCTCCGCAAACGCCCCGCAACCACATCGTAACCGCACCGCAAATGCCGGGCTTTGCAGAGCGGCACCATAGACTAGAATAGGAGGCTTCGACGCCTCCTGATTCAACCAGAGGCATCCGTTTTGCCGCGACGCGTCGCAAACGCTCCCGTTAGAACAGCACCATGTGTTGTAATGTACAGAATTGGCAGAGGCGTTTGGGAAGCTGTAAAAACGCTTCCCAAACGCCTCTCTGCCGCCTGCACACAACGCTAGTGTGAACGTAGCCTAAAGGTCTGTGGTGACAGAAGTACCATTATTCTCAACAATACAGTATAATTCACCTCTGCATTTTAGTGTAGTGGGATTTTAAAGCCCAAATACAGCTTAACCAATGAGACCTTCCACAGGGACTAAAGTCGGCCTTAACCTATACAATCGTATTGTACAATCTTCTGTGGACTTATCAAATCTATGTAATATGAAGATACACCTAAGCAATTCATTGCATCTGTATCAAATCAAGCAAGCCCTTGCATTGCATATTTGATGGTAGATCTAAAGGGGTTTGTACGGTCAAAATTGTTCATATATTATCCAGGCTCTTTATGAAATCCATAACACCTGACCCAATTATAGCCCTCCTAAATCTGGGCCCTGCCAGCATTTCTAAGCCTCAATTTAAACTTGCAAGTCACCACAGCAGCTAAACAGATCATAGCCAAATCGTAGAAATCTCCATCTTTGTGTATTGTAGGAACAAGGTTACACAGGCTATGATTCACGCTAAAGTGGAAGCCACCATCCTAGACGCTATCCCTAGGTTTTTGTCAATCTGGACCCCATGGGTGGAACATTTCCTCCCACCGAACTTTGACTATTTATTACTCCTTCCTTGATATTTCCTAATCCACTACATTGGTTATCCAACACGCCATGTTATAAAGTCTCGAGTCTCTCTATTCCAGTCTAAAAGTCACACGTTCTCTCTTTCCTTCTCCTATTTCTTCTTAATCTCTCTTACTCTCCCCCCCTTTTACCCTACTCTCCCCTCTCCAATCCTTACTACCTCATATGGAACCCTTTGTATGATCACGGGGAGTGGAGCCCCCTATCTGTTGTATCCCCAGATCCTGTCTGCCAGTATACCGTTATATCTATGTTTTTCTGTGGTTCCATACAACGTGTTTTTATATGTATACCCCCCCACTTCAATTGGACAACATTTCTGCCCGGTTTCATTTGTACCTATGCACACATATGGATTGTCCTAAACCTGTATTTCCCTGTCTTTGAAAATAATAAAATGTTTGAACAAGGAGTTTGTACAACCAGATTGTATAGGGTATGGTCAGCTTCATGGTAGAATACATAAAACACACAGCTAGCCTGCTTTCAAAGTGTCTCCAAAAGCACAGTTGGCACATGTATGCAAGGGCCACTTCTGTGGAGATCACACTTCACTTGGTCTGAAATGAACCGTATTGCATGTACACATACTTTTTTAATGGGTTTAAAAAAAAAACAACATATTCAGTACATCTCCTAAATACATGCACATGTTTTGAGTGCTTAATACTGTAAGTACAGAAAAACTCCTGTTTGTCTGCCAGGAACCCAATGAACACCTAATTTCCTGTAGTGAACTGACAACACTGCTTCCACTGTACTGAAATCCCAAGCAGTGTTGTCAGCCCTATCTGAGTTCATTTCTGGCAGGATCAACAAGTGTTTTTTTGAACTTTGGACATTTTTAAAGAGACAAAATGTGGGGAAATGTTATTAAATCAGTTCAGCCTTTCTCAACCTTTTTTCCCCAGAGAAACGCATAAAATAAAATAATTTTCTGAAGGAACCCCTACTAAAACCAATTCATTGGGGGTCAGTGGTAAAAATGCCCCTTACATTAGTTGCTATTGGGAAGGATGCCTCTATTACAGTGGTGAACAGAATGCCACCCTTACAGGCAGCTAAACAAAAATGGCATCATGCTACTAATCCCCCCCCCCCCCCCCCCTCGATAGCGTTGGCCCCAGAACTCTGCAGACACCATCAAATGGGACGTCAATCAGCTTAAGGAACCCCCAGCAACCTCTGGAGGAACCCTGCTTGAGAAAGGCTGTATTAGATATATGTACTGAATATATATATATTTTTTTTTTACATACACTCTAAAGGTATTTAGGCTTTTCAGTGATCTGACTACTAGAAACTGAAATCCGGCTTGTTGCTGTAAGGTACATTTCATACTAAACCTTTCACTAAAACATCACTAATGAACCCTCTTTGATACATAAGACAAGAACTTGGCAGTATGTGCACAGACGTGTGAATCTCTAAAGTTATTCCTGGGAAAAAAAAAAATTAGGAATGATTATCTCAGGCATCTGTGTTTCCTTCATTATCGTGTGGTTGAAGCTGTTCTGTTTCTGTCTCCTCCTGAGGAGGCCGGACACGTTTAAAGAAGCCAAATTTGTACATAATAAAAACCATTAGCGCCAACAGTAGTAAACCTGACAGCACTGCAAGTACTATCACCCACACAGGTACGGGAGCACTGGACGTCTGGTTCACCCATAGGATGTTTGTGGTGACTTCTGTAACATTGTGTATATCAGGAAGACTCATGTTCTTATACGGGAATTCTAGTACATGGAACGTGGCTGAAGATTTTAAAGAATAGGAATGGTTCTGATTCTCACTATTCATAAATGTTGGTGTCCACAATCTTGATCTAATGTACAGAATTGCACTTTTTCCTCTCTCCACTCGCTCGACGTGGCATTCAATTTTGAGACATTGTGCTTGTCCACAGCCAATGGTCTGCAGTTCGCCCTCAACCAGTGGAAGTTCACGCCTATTGCGTTCCGTACGAGTTACGTTTTTAACCTCATCCGTTTGGGAAGTTGACAGTTTGAGGTCAAGTGGGTTGATCAGGACATCAGAAGTACAGTCCATGGGCCCATCAATTTCATATTTGACTATGTACAATAAGTCATTGTTTTTGTACTTGTATGGCCACAGGATATTAAGCATTGCTTTGCTGAACGCGCTGGGACCATTGTTTCTGAGTTCAAAGATATGTTGAACCAGTGGTCCAACGTCATCTTCTGTTACAGGATTCTCCTTGGGCTCCCAGTTTGCAATAGGCAGGAAGACTTCCGTAGGAGTGGAGACTCCTCTTATGTCAACTGCGGCCAAAACCGCCAGTGCAATCCGCAGTGACTGTTTGGCACTGGTATTGTCATACTGGTTGGAACTTTGTATCTGCAAGTCAAAGTTTACAGTGTTGTCCATCTCACTTAGCTGATGAACACTAAACAGCAAGGCTGCTAAGACCCTTGTTCCAGCCTTCATGGGATTTCCAAGGTCACATACAACAAGACGAGTCTGATTTTCTATTTTGAAGGCACAAGACAAGCGTGTTAAGGATTCATTGTTTCGGACAACTCCAATGAAGTCCGCCTGGGGTGGTATATAGACAAAAAGTTCAGCTTCATAGGCCCCTTCACCTTGATTTTGTGCATCTACGAACAACGTCAAGGGGCTATCATCTCCAATATAGATTTGCTGTTGCTCACTCACAACCGATAAAATCAGTTTTGGCTTGCATATATTGTCATCACCGCAGTCCAACAAGATATGCGCCTGTTTGGTTAGGTTTGCTGGGGTGAGCTGGTTAAGGATAGGCATTAATCCAGATGGATCAGCAGCAGCTTTATAATCCATTTCATAATCCATAAAGATCGTGATAGGTGTAAGTTTATCTCGAAACTCACTCTCATCTCGTAAATATGCTCTTAATTCCTCACAACGCATATTCCCACCGTTGGCTATTGTCATGTTTTTAGAATGAGTGGGCTGCCTGTTGTGTACAAACAATGCTCGTCTTACAGCTCCCTTCTGTTTCAGCTTATCCAACAAAAGTTCAATTTTGAATTGAAGGTTTTCAGGGACATTTCCTTTAGCGCTGGCCTTCAGGCAGAATTTCACATCAAAGCAGGAAACCGTAGCTCCATTTGGAAGGGAACAGGTTTTACTTTCGGGGTTCAGTATTGATGGATTCACTTCAAGAACAGCATTCACTGTGACAACAGGCCTAGACCTGTATAGTACAGCCTTATCTGCCCCAAAAGCCCCAACCACTAAATCAGGATAGCCATTTTCATCAATATCAGTGGCACCTTTCAAAGAGTATCCAAAACTTGGTGGCATTGTTCTAGATGCCCACTGTCCTTCAAGAACTTGAGAGGGTGCTGTGCTAATACCGGAGCTTCTTCCATTGTAAATGTACACAAGGCCTTTTTTACCCTCTCCGGCATAGGGTGCCCCAATGGCAATGTCATTGAAACCGTCTTGGTCCATATCGCCAAGAGGCGCGATCGAACTGCCAAACCTTGCAAATGCATAAAATCCAGTCAGCTTTATTAAAAATCGAAGCCCTGCTTTTTTTTGCTGAATATAAACGGTAACTTGCCCGACTTCTTGAAGCTTCCCATCGGATCCACGGTCCATAAAAAGGGGAGCTCCGACAAACAGATCAACCAGTCCATCGCCATTGATATCTGTCGTCGCTACGGCATAACCAAAGTAGGCAGCCATCTGCTCTCCGGTGAAATTGTACAGCGAAGCCATGGACTGGCCATCATAAATAGACACCATCCCTAAGGTCTTCACTGCCCTGGGCACCCCAGAGACAAAATCATCAATGGCGTCACCGTTAAAATCTCCCACGGCCACAGAATACCCCAAATAGCTGTCGTCATACATTGGGCTGGCGGAGCGCGTAGCCAGCTGCCCGCTATATGGGATGGTGTATTTCTTGGGGTCATATTTTGTAAAGATTTCGTCGATTTTGTCCGAAATTAGTTGACCCTGCCAGTAGAAGCTGCCAGGGCCTCCTAGCAGGACCCGGTTGGTGTTGGTAAAGTCGACGCTGAACCCGCCCTGGCAAAACCCTTGCTCCTGGGCGTCCACTTTGCTCGTTGATCTGCAGGGCGCATATTCTACAATCTTGCTTCCATCCTTCAAGTAAGTACAAGTCCCAACTGGCTCCCTTTCCTGCTTGGCATTCTCAGTCCTCCAGTGATACAGGGGGGCACAGGCCAGGATCTTCTCATCTTTGACCCTCAGGGATGCCCCAAACCATTGGTTGGATTTGAACTCGATGGGGTCGTCTTTGGCAAAGTACCGATTGCCGGTGCCGTCGAAGACAATAGGCTTGCAGTTGGCATTCCTCCAGTCGCATTTCAGCACGTCCCCACCTTGGCTGATGCCATGCTGGCTGGTGTTGGCTTTGGGGGCCCCGATCAGCAGGGAGGAGGAGAAGAAGTCTACGGCAAAGCCGAAGTAGCTGCCCTCAGCCCCGAAGTACACCGAGGGGTTCTCCGAGTCCAGATTGAAACCGCGGGACGAGCCCAGCAGAGCGGCGGCCAGCAGGAGAGCAGCGGTGGAGGCCATGGAGACCGGAGGAGCCGGGGAGCCTCTGCCCATCAGATCCGGCGGTCCGGGGAGCGGAGGGGGCCAGCTGTGCCGACCGATCGCACTGCAAACTTCCGCGAATCCCGGGGACTTTCCTTGTTTTCTGATCAGACGGGATGGGGCCGGTCGGGGAGGACGGGCTGGGATCGCAGTCATAGGGGGCGGGGAGAGCTGGGAGGCTAGTCGCCTTCGCTTCCCGTCCATGTGTCATCTGGGCTCCCTACACCCGGGGAATGATCATTGCTTCTGATGGGAAAGGGCCTGGCCGCCCGGCGGGAGGGGGTTACACAATGCTGGAACTTTGTACAGATACATTGTATATATGTGTAAAAGGGTATACGTGTGCAAAAGATACATTGTATACATGTGTATGTGCAAAAGATACATTGTGTGTAAGGTGTGCAAAAGATACATTTATATACGTGTATACGTGTGTAAGGTGTGCAAAAGATACATTGTATCATGTGTAAGGTGTGCAAAAGATACATTGTATACATGGTGTGCAAAAGATACATTGTATACGTGTAAGTGTGCAAAAGATACATTGTATACATGTGTGAGGTGTGCAAAAGATACATTGTATACATGTGTGTGAGGTGTGCAAAAGATACATACATGTATACGTGTGTAAGGTGTGCAAAAGATACATTGTATACGTGTGTAGGGTGTGCAAAAGATACATTGTATACATGCGTAAGGTGTGCAAAAGATACATTGTATCATGTGTAAGGTGTGCAAAAGATACAATGTATACATGTGTGGAGTGTGCAAAAGATACATTGTATACATGTGTGAGGTGTGCAAAAGATACATTGTATACGTGTGTGAGGTGTGCAAAAGATACATTGTATACGTGTGTAAGGTGTGCAAAAGATACATTGTATACGTGTGTAGGGTGTGCAAAAGATACATTGTATACATGCGTAAGGTGTGCAAAAGATACATTGTATACATGCGTAAGGTGTGCAAAAGATACATTGTATACATGCGTAAAGGTGTGCAAAAGATACATTGTATACATGCGTAGGGTGTGCAAAAGATACATTGTATACATGCGTAGGGTGTGCAAAAGATACATTGTATACATGCGTAGGGTGTGCAAATGATACATTGTATACCACTTTGTATCCTCAAATGGAAGCAGATATAACTAAAGAGATACATTGTATACATGTGTAGGGTGTGCAAAAGATACATTGTATACAGGGGCAGACTGATCATTTGGGCACTCGGGCACTGCCTGAGGGCCTGAGGTCAGTAAGGGTCCCCATGAGATGCCCCTGGTACCTTTTATAGGCATTTTTAGGTGTGGTTTGAGTTTGGTTGAGGACACAGGGGCCCCATGGTCCCCTATTGCCCGGGGGCACCATGAGCTGTCAGTCCGCCCCGGATTGTATACATGTGTAGGGTGTGCAAAAGATACATTGTATACATGTGTAGGGTGTCCAAAAGATACATTGTATACAACTTTGTATCCTCAAATGGAAACAGAGATAACTAAAGAGATGCATTGTATACATGTGTAAGGTGTGCAACAGATACATTGTATACATGTGTAGGGTGTCCAAAAGATACATTGTATACAACTTTGTATCCTCAAACGGAAGCAGAGATAACTAAAGAGATACATTGTACACATGCCCGCCACCCCAATCATCAATCAGCACCAACTTTATATATATATATATATATATATATATATATATATATATATAAATTATTATTATTATATATATTTTTATTTATTTAATATATACTATACATTTTCTTATTATATACTTTACCTTTCTCTCTAGCTATCTCAAACACACTTTTAGAAATCATCCATAGTTTTAATACTGACTTTCCATCAACACCAGCTCATATACTGTACCGCTTGCCGGTGCTGTTGAAGACAATAGGCGGGCAGTTGGCATTTCTCCAGCATGTCCCCACCTTGGCTGATGCCATGCTGGCAGGTGTTAGCTTTGGGGGCAATATATACTCTATATTGCCAAAAGTATTGGGCCGCCTGCCTTTCCACGCACATGACCTTTAATGGCCTCCCAGTCTTAGTCCGTAGGGTTCAATATTGAGTTGGCCGGCCTTTCCACACACAACCTTTAATGGCTTCCCAGTCTTAGTCCGTAGGGTTCAATATTGAGTTGGCCCCGCCCTTTGTAGCTATAACAGCTTCAACTCTTCTGGGAAGGCCGTCCACAAGGTTTAGGAGGGTGTCTATGGGAAGGTTTGACCATTCTTCCAGAAGCACATTTGTGAGGTCAGGCACTGATGTCGGGGGAGGAGGCCTGGCTTACAATTCATCCTAAAGGTGTTCTATCGGATTGAGGTCAGGACTCTGTGCCACTGTATTAGGTATGCCTGTTCAATTGCTTGGTAACACAAACTGCTAATCACATGGCAGCAACTCAATGCATTTAGGCATCCAGATGTGAAGACGACTTGCTGAAGTTCAAACCAAGCATCAGAATGGGGAAGAAAGTCGATTTAAATGAATTTGAACATGGCATGGTTGCTCATGCCAGAGGGGCATGTGGTCTTTTTTTTTTTAACTGCTGACCTACTGGGATTTTCATGCCCAGTCATCTCTTGGGTTTACAGAGAATGGTCTGAAAAAGAGAAAAAACCCAGTGTAGTTGTGTGGACAAAAATGCTTTGTTGATGTCAGAGGTCAGGGCAGAATGGGCAGACTGGTTCGATATGATAGAAAGACTCAGTAACCCAGTTAACCATTTGTTACAACCAAGGTATGCAGAATACCATCTCGAATGCAGAACATGTCGAACCTTGAAGCAGATGTGCTACAACAGCAGAAGACCACACGGGGTGCCACTCCTGTCAGCTAACAACAGGAAACGGAGTCTACAATTCGCACAGGCTCACCAAAATTGCACAATAGAAGATTGAAAAAACATTGCCTGGTCTGATAGAGTCTTGATTTCAGCTGCAACATTTAGAATGTGGGGTCAGAATGTGGCGTAAACAACATGAAAGCATGGATCCATCCTGTCTTGTTTTTAACGGTTCAGGCTGGTGGTGTAATGGTGTGAGGGATATTTTCTTGGCAGACTTTGGGCTCTTTAGTACCAGTTGAGCATCATTTAAATGTCATGGTCTACCCTGAGTATTGTTGTTGACCAGGTCCATCCCTGTATGACTAAAGTGCACCTGTCTTCTGATGGCCAGTTCCAGCAGGATAATGCACCATATCACAAAGCTCCAATCAGACTGAAATTAGAAATGAAGTTAGAGCTGAAGGCTGTCAGAATACCTGAACAGTTCCTACATTTCAATGGATGTAGGCATTCTTTGACAGAATTTTCTGCCCAAGTCATTTGAAAAATTTACTTTTATCGATCCAACAGGGCCACTCATGGCACAAATTTTCAATGCATGTTTGGCCAGCTTTATGCCAGTAACAATGTAACCAACTTTTACTGATGGCTTTGTGATGTACAAACCAGATTTGACCGCACAGATCTGTTTATAGTATATTTTCATGTTATGCTTTGCATTGTTTCATCGACACAGTATTACATGGCTACTGATACTTGACCTATCACTTGTATCCACCCTTTCAAAAACTTAAAAAAAAATAGTTTTTGGCTGGAGTTAGTTTTCAAACCACCTGAGAGTTTCCTATGTTTTGGTGGACTCTAATGGGGAGATCTCTGTACCAGTGTGGCCAGGTCTGCTTCTTGGGGACGATGTTGGTGAGATTTCTGTACCAAAGTGGCCAGGTCTGCTATTTGGTAAAATTTGATGGTGAGATCTCTATACCAAAGTGGCCAGGTCAGCTTCTTGGGGACCTATTGGTGGAACGTCTGTACTATGTGTTTGGGTCTGCTTGGGGACTCCACTGGTAGGATTTTTGTATCAAGGTGGCCAAGTTTCTTGGGCACAATATTGTTGAGATCAGTGTATTAGGGTTGGCCAGGTCTGCTTCTGGTGGGATTTCTGTAAAATTGTTTGGGTTTGCCTCTTGGGGACCTTATTGGTGGGATCCCTGTACTGGAGTGGCCAGGTCTGGTTCTTGGGATCCCTATTGGTGGGATCTTTGTACTGTGTGCTGGATCTGCTTCTTGGACACTCTGTTGGAGAGATCTCTGTGCTGGGGTGGCCTGGTCTATTTCTTGGGGAATCCATTGTTGAGATATCATCTCTGGGATGGCCAGGTGTGCTTCCTAAGGATTTTATTGGTGAGAACTCTGTGCTGGGGAGGCCAGATGTGCACATCTGTTGTGGTTTTTATGAGGGACTTCCAATTTCCCTGTTGGATTTTTAATGTGTTCTGAGTTATTGTGCAGGAAGTGCTGTAATGCCCAAACTCTGGCACATAAACAGGAATAGAGTTGGACTGCTGGACTTGTATGTTAATCCTGGTTTCACTACCTATAATATCATTGGCCTGGCTCAAACAGAAAATATAATGAAAAGTCTGATTTCCTCACTGCACCATTGTTTTAAGACAATGACCGCTGAAGTAGAAGTGCAGACTGTAGTTTTATTAACAGGCCAACAATAGCAGCTCTTTTATTTCAAGTTAGGTCCATATACAGTGGGGATCGAAAGTTTGGGCACCCCAGCTAAAAATTTGTATTATTGTGCATAAAGAAGCCAAGGAAAGATGGAAAAATCTCCAAAAGGCATCAAATTACAGATTAGACATTCTTATAATATGTCAACAAAAGTTAGGTTTTATTTCCATCATTTACACTTTCAAAATAACAGAAAACAAAAAATGGCTTCTGCAAAAGTTTGAGAACCCTGCAGAGTTAATATCTTGTACTGCCCCTTTGGCAAGTATCACAGCTTGTAAACGCTTTTTGTAGCCAGCCAAGAGTCTTTCAATTCTTGTTTGAGGTATCTTTGCCCATTTTCCTTACAAAAGTCTTCCAGTTCTTTGAGATTTCTGGGCTGTCTGTCACGCACTGCTCTTTTAAGGTCTATCCATAGATTTTCAATTATGTTGAGGTCAG